CTGTCCGCCGGCTGAGATAGTATGGGGCCTGCCGGCCGCTGTGAGGAGGGAGCCGAGGAACAAGGAGGCATTGAAGACAGCCCTGCAGGCACATCATGGGGCCTCGGACGACAGTGAGGACCCAGCAAACAGAAAACACATAGGAAACAGGTGAAGACAGAAGACCAGCCAGAAGAGGTAAGGGTAAATAATTAATTAAAATAATTATTATTGGTAGCCTAATGTTGTATAAAGTACTGTTGCAGCAATGCAGAATGGCACCATCTATAGAGGACTACAAATCTCAGCAGTACTTTATACAGAAATGCTATTGTTATATAAAGTATTGCTGGGATGTGTAGTCCTCTATAGCCTGTGCCATTCTGCATTGCTGTAAATATTAGGGCTGCACCGATATATCGGCCGCCAAAAGATATCGGCCGGAAATGGCACTTTTGGCTAAATGCCGAACGTACCATTTTTCTGCTGATACAGCGGCGCATCCGTGCTTTCTTTCCTCCCCGCTGGGCGCTGCTCTGTGTCCCAGCGGGGAGGAGAGAAAGTGACAGCTGGCCGAGTGCTGCGGGAGGAGAGCGCTGTGTTTGTGGGTTTTTTTTGGGGAGGGCCAAAAAAATCTTGCACCAGGGCCCTTTGTTCCTTAGGTCCGCCACTGGTGGAAGCAGAGGTGTTAACCGTACTTGCAACTTAGTGCTTGCTTTTAAGTGTCAAATGAGAGATGTCCCCATAGAAGTCAACAGAAAATCTTCAAATGCACTGGCCAACATTGATGGATCTTATGAAATACCTGTGTTCTGCGATCTCTTAAAAGGTGACATAAGAACAAAATTTAAGAAACTGTGCACCCTAGAATGCTGTGCTGCATTTGCCATTGTAATTAAAATGAAGCTGAGAAAATTCATGATTTTCTGCAGGGCATGTTAACACTAGCATTGGCATATAGCTTTGCGGTTTATTATTGCAGCCAATTGAATGCAATCCTTCTAAATTGATTATCTGCAATACATATACAAACACGTGTATACATCTTCACACCAAGGGGAGATGAAACATGTTATATATTGTTATAAAAAAAAACAGTCAACAGCGATATTTTCATTGTCACCTAAACCTGGTTTGGTGTATTTGTGCATTGGTTTCATTTCCCTTTATATCTTTTCAGATAAACTTGCCTGTTTAATATGGTTGCAATAAACAGCAGATGTTGTTTGCATATAAGATGTTCATTTTTAATTTGGCAAACTCTCATACCATCAAGGGGAATGGGAATGTATGTGGGGGGAGTGCTACCGGAACAACTTGTGTAACAGGATGGGCAAGAAAAGTGGGAGCGGTACAAAAAGTGGGAGGGGCAAACTAGGTAAGGGGTATAGAGATAGATGTGAAGGGAAGGGTGGCTCAGCAGGGAAGATTGGTTAGCAAGAAAGGTAAGTATGGCCAGAGAATGGTTACATCAGGAGTATAGTTTCTGTTATATACTGCAGTGGCTGCTTGAATTGGGTCATAAATAGTGGACCGTCAATTTTCTGAGCAGGGCAGTACTTGATTTCAGCCAAGATAGTTTGGACGTTAAATTAATATTAAATGTACATATATTTTTTCATTAATTAATTCAGATCAAAGAAATATACATTTCTCAGCAAATTATTTATTTATACTGTATTTTTGGCCAAGCACTTACAGTTATCATGTTTCTAAGCAGCTCCAACTCTCCCAGCTCTGCTGTCCTGAACTTTCTCTTGAGTATGCGATCACAAGGGAAAGCAAATTCTCCAGCAGATGTTCATCTGCTTGCTTGGAGAAGGGAGGTGTGTGGAGGGAAGATGGAGGAGAAGGGGGCAGAGGTGTGCCTAGTCTTGCTGTGCCTGTGTGTTTGTGGAGACCCACACAGCTTACTAGCACACACAAGGGTGACTCCATAGTACCCTACAAGGGAAAGGCGCCACCCTAAAACAGGATATCAGGACCAGTGCTCAGGGGACCAGCTTTCTGCTATTGCTCTCTCTCATTGCGCTTCTTTAATTTCTTTAATTTCAAAAGCAAACAATGGGGTTTCACATTGTTCCAACCACAGGGCTCCCATTCAGGTAGAGATGACTATTGTGGGTATGAAATGAGAGTTTGTAAAGAAGCGATGTGCTTGCAAAGAGTGTTAGAAAAAGGATACAATATCAGTACCCTAACATTTCCATATAATAGAACTTGCTGAGTTGCTATTTTAGGCAAGGGCAGCTGTGCACATACAGCCAATGAAATCAGATATTTTGATTATTTTGATTCAATGTTCTTACATCTGATTTCTAACACACGCCTTTGTTTTGCACACCACTTGATCCAACTCCAGAATTTGTACTTATCAGAATTATAAGGAATGGCAAATAAATAATGGAATCACAGTGCCATACCTTCAGTTTCATTGGATAGTATGTTGTTTACCTAAAGCTGGCCATACACAGTGTGATCTAGAGCCGGTTATTGATGAACTGGTCGAAATTCATTCAGTGAGTGGTTTTGTTGACTCTTTTCCATCCGGCATCCTTTGATCAGAAAGTTGAAGGAGCCCGTTAAATTTTTTTCGGGCAGCCAATAGGCTGCTATCATTGCTCAGGTATTCTGACAGCGGCACACCCACCACTGTCGAAATACAATAGCCCAGCGGAAGATTCATTCATCAAAATCATGAATAGTAACATCCAGGGTCTTCTCAATTAAATTCTGGACATAAGGTAAAATGCATTTGGGGTCATCTAATGTTAGTAAATCTAGAGTAACAGAACCTAGTGTGATTGGGGTCACATACTGTGGTGAATGCTATAAGGAGCCAATACATTTATGTATTCTATATAATATTATTTGGGGACTTCTGGACTAAGGGGTGAGGGTTTAAAGAGTATTTTTGCAGTTAGTTTTGAGAAGCCCCAGCTATTTGTTTTGTGTTCCCATTCACACCGCATGCCTAAAAATGTTTCTTACCTTTCTAGTCTAGGATAGACAAAGGACTGCAAGCTATTCTTAAAAGCAAACTGGGGACACAGTTGGTTTTCCCTCATTACATGCAATACAGAACACAAGCCCTGAGAT